ATTTGCTCCTCTGTTGGTCATTAAGGTAGATCCTGCAGTTCTGTAAATGCAGAGCCTCAATAATTCATCAGAGCACAGACAGACTCCAGCTGGGGGTGCTTACAGCCAGGTAGGACCTGGTTTGGGAGCCTTCTCTTCCTTGAGGAACACAAGGGATGTGCCACAAGTGCCCCAGTTTGTGGCACCTTGTTGGAGGCTGCTGTGAGTTCCAGGGTCAGTCTGGCAGTGAGGGAACAATGAAATGGGCAGAGACAAAATCAAAGGGAATTTTCCCCTTGGCATCACCTGGAAAGTGCACTTTGAGGTGCTTAATTAGCATCAAACCAGGCAGAAATTGTATGGGAAAAAATATTGGCAGTATATCTAAGAATAGGAGGGGTTTGCCTCTTCAGGAGCAAGTTTGCAAACAGATTTGACAGTGTAATTGTTTACTGACAGAAAGCACATGGAAAGAGAAAGAGGAGAGGAAATCCAGAGAAAAGAGTCTCACAATCTGCTGCTGTGTTGCAACCAAAATATAAAATCTACCATTTTGCAGCAGGAGGTGATTATTTTTGTTCTGGCCTTTAGAAACCACGTTTGTTCTCTCCTTTAATGTAGACCCAGAGTAAAGTGAGTGAGTGAAGGTCAGATCACCTGTAATTCAGCATTCAACAATGTGCTTGGCATCAGGGAAAATAATCTGCCACAGCCTTTCCCACAGCACAAGCTGACCCCCTGTGCATTAGTCTGAGTCTAAAACCCAGGCAGGGCTTTGAGTTTGGGATGGGAGCCCAGCTCTGGAGAGCTGGAAGTGATGCCCATTTTTATTCTGACTGCAGCAGAATCAGGACTCACAGCAACCATGAATATGTTTGGAAAATTCCCTCTCCTTGCCTGCCCTACTTTTCTGTTTCATCATCATTTAAAAGCCTCAGCATCAGGCTGATTTTGGAGGCACTGAGCAGCCAAGGAGTGGTGTTTGGTAGGAAAAAAAGCTGGGGAGAGACAAAGCTGATTCTTGCTCTTGAAATTCTGTCCAGAGTTGTGGTTTCTGTTAGAATTAGTCTGAAATGAAGTGAAAAAATGTGGTTCCAAATCATCTTTTGCCCCATAACGGGACAAAGGGGCCAGTGTGGATCAGCAGAATCTCTTTAAGCAGACAGAGGATTGGAAATGGTTTGGGTTTTTGTGGTTCCCATTCATTTAAAGTATCACTTCCATCACCCCAGAGATGTCAAATGAATGACAGGCAGGAGATGAAAAGGAAAAAAATAAAGGCAGACTAGGAGTAGGTGTTAATTAAACCAGGATTTGGAATAATCAACAAGTTCCCTTTTCATATCTGCTGCACATAAACCTTCCTGTAAGACCCATTTTGACTTGATTAACGTGGCTCTTTGCAATGGTTTGTGGTGGCTGTTCCACTGTGATGAAGTGTCTGAAACGTGTTGTGTCCAGGATCAGACTTGGTGCTGCTGACCCTCTGAACTCACACACTTGGCACTGACATCTGTGTGCTGAAAATTAGGGCTTCTGTGCCTTGGGAACAAGGGTGTCCTACAGCACCTGTCTGCTGCAATCCTGGCAGTGGAGCTGCAGTTCTTTCCCTTTGAATTAGCCAGCAGGTTCCAGGAGTGGGTGACAACCTTAACTTCCCTAAAAGGGAAAAGAAAGCACATTCATATTTACAGTATTGCTCAAGGGGGAGATATCTAATTGGCTGTCGAGTGGAATTTGATCCCAAATTGATGAGCTTTTGAGGTCTGTGTGTGTACAAACCCAAATACACAGGTTTGTGTGCATTCACAGGTATGTAGGGATAGATCTATAGAGATTCTGGAGTGATAGGACTGTATAGATACCTACATGTGTGTGTGTTTGTGTGCACACACCTCCAGGATAAATCCTGTTTATCATCTAAATCTGTAACAGAAAAGCTTGTGCAGTTCCACGTCAGCCTGGGAGCCTCCTTTGATCTGAGAGGGTTGTTGGGAGTTATTCTGGAAGCTCTGTGAGCTTTGCATATCAAGTGCTGAGAACTCAGGCTTGTTTTTCTATCATTAAAATGTTTGAGCCCTCGAGTTCTGTGAGGCTGGTGGTTTTGTTTTGGGTTCCCCAAATTAAATCCCCCTTGGAACAGCTAATTTAACCACTGAGGTGGATCCTGGTTCAGAGCAGTAGGACCAGAAGTGGTAAGAGCAAAAATAATGTTCCAGTTCAGTCACCAGTTTCCCTTAGGATTTATTTTACAGCATCTGCAGGAGTTCAGCTCACTCCACACAAGGACCAGACTTCATTCCATGCTGGCACCTTCCTGGGGAAGACAAGGAATATCCTCATCCCCAGCGACTCTGCAGTTCAAGGTACGGGCTGGAGCCTCCCAGCGAGTGGCTTCTGGTGAGAATAATCCCCCTCCTCCATTCTGGGCTTCAAATTGAGACCCAAGCCCAAATTACAGTGACTGTCCAGTGTTTCCTGCAGCTCAGACTCAGTTGTACCACTCTGCTGTGGTTTAAGTTGGGAGCTAGAATGTAAATATTGGCTTTTCCTCCCTGGAACACATGCACTTTGATAGAAAAATTGATTTTTACAGGATAAGAGTTCAACATATTCTCTTAGAAAGGAGTGAAGTGGTTGAATGATTCCTTTTCTCCCACCTGGGAGGGTCTCACAGTAGCAATCCTGGGCTGAGCAGTGTGCTCCAGGGAGCAGAATCCCACCAAGGGCTTTTCCCCAGGGACGAGTGACAGGAAGGCCAATGGAACCGATCCCAACTATCAACTGTCTGTTGTTCCTGCAGCACAAATTGCAATTGGTGTCCTCTGCCTCAAACTAATTGTAAAACTCCTCCCTTGCCTTCTCCCTTGGAAAGCCCTGGGTGGAATTTTGAATTTAGGTTGTTTCCCACTCCCTTTCCTGTATCCTCCTTCTAAACGATGCCTCTTCAACTGCTCAAGGTCCTCGACTGTCCTGACATTTTATCCTGGGTTTGTCTCTTCAAAGGATCTCAGTTTTCCTTCTATTGCAAAACTTGGCAGCCAATTTTTGCAGCTTTTCAATGCAGTAAATTGGCTGTACAAAAAGCAGGTGGAATTCCAGCCGTGGAGGAAGCTCCACACAAATAGTTTGGCTATTTAGGGGCCTGATTATCCAGCCTGCACTCCCAGAATAGTTGCTATGTACAAATTGGCCCAAAAGCTTCCTAAATAGCTGCTTATACTCCTCGTAACCTGTTTCATTGTGGAGCCACAGTGAGAAACACCTCCAGGGATGAAAGTGTGCAGGGAACCAAGAGGCAGCACACAGACCTCTGAGACACAAAAAAACCCCCTAAAAAAACCTAAAAAAAGCCCAAAAATGCAAATACTTGAGCTTGGAGAAGGTTCTCTGTGATGTGCAAGGTGCCACAGCACTGCTCTCCTATGGGCTGGATGTGCCAAGGGATGCAGGACAATGGAAAATTTTAGATCCATTCAGTTTTTCTGAACTGCAGCAACAATTGCAGGTGAAGGCATGGAACACATTTCTTTAAGTCTTATTTACAACTTACACAAGTACACTAAAACACTCTCAAAAAATCAAGACTGTTTTCAAACTTACACCACAATGCCTCTTGGAAAGCTCCACACAAAGAATATAATCCGAATTCTATTACAGGACACAATTAAAATATACATTTGTTTAAATGGCTTGTTTTCATCAAGTGGCTCACCCCAAAAAAGGGTTATTTTTTTGTCCCCTGGACATGGATGGATCCAGTGCTTCACTCAGGGGTTTTAATGGCAAAAAGAGGAAAACTCTTCAGGGCTTTGGGATATTAAGTGACTGTGGGTTTTGTCAGTCTTGGTAACTGGGGGAAGAAGGACTGGAAGTGGCTTTGAGGGGAAAATAAAAGAAAGGAGATATTAAAAGATATATATATATATTAAAAAAAGGGTTAAAAGGTTTCTCATAAGGCTCTTCTAGGAAAAGATTGGTCCAAGTTAAATGACAGCCCAACTTGTGTGTTTAGATCATCCCCAGAAAAACTGAGTGTGCAAGAGGAAATGTTGGAGCAGCAGGAATGTGTTTCTTGGGGGTTTACCTCCAAATATACAGAGAAATGGTGGTAAAGAAGTTGGAATTGCCCCAACTGTGCAGCTGGCTCTGCCCCTGTGTGTTCTGGGAGTGTGAGCCTTGGGGACAACCTCATCAAAGTGCCACAAACAGGAGGGGAGACCCTTCCTGGGACACCCGGCAGGGAAACCAGAGGCTTTAGTGCTTGGGAGTACATTTTGAATACATCTATTTTTAGATGTTTATTTTCTGGGGGCCTTATTGTGACAGTCAGCGATGTGAACGAGCTGATTCCTCCAGCCACATTTATCATCAGAACAGTCATTAGGGCTCCTGATGGCCAGAGAAGTGTTAAAACCTGCAGTGAACGACTAAATGATCCATTATGTTTTGGCAACTGCAGCCTCATTTCCTACCTGCTGTTCCTTTTGTGGTCACTGTGAAGCAATTATTTCAGATAATGTGGGGAAACAGCCCATTTGTGAGAGTCCATCAAGAAATCATTATCCCACCAGAAGCAATGGACAGCGTGTCAAACAGGATTGGAAGGTATGGATTCAAAAGTGTTTTCCTTGTTTTCTTTAGCCTTTTTTGGGGGGGAAGAGGGGGGAGAGGGAAGGAAGGGGCTTGAGGGATGTCACCACATTCTGCAGAGTTTATAAAACACACCCCACTGCCTTGCAAGGGGCAGGAATTTGCTGTTCCTGCAGCATCCTGGGAGAGGAAAAAAAAAAAAAAGAGATGTGTCCTGGGGTGATGGTGAAGGGAGACCTTGGGATTTAACTGGGACTGAACACCTTGTGCTTATGGAAACAGGGACTCCTGGGAGGCTCTTGGAAACAGGATTCTTGTATTTATTCTGCTGACTCAGAAAGTACAAACCTTTGTACCTGCAATAGGGCTTTCTCATACATTTGTGCTCCTTGTAGTAAATCTGCTCTTTTAACAGAAGGGAAGACAATGAACCTACATGATCTCTTTGCTTTTATCAAAGGTGTCCTCTAAATTCCTTTACATTGGATACTTGGAGCTGTGCCTTGTTATCAGGTACTGGAAAAGTTTTTTATTTGTGATTTTAAATATGAAGAAACTTAGCCTTTTTTTTTTTTTTTAACATGTCCTCCCTTCCCTTTTAGTAATTTTTGTCTTTAATTTGATAAAATGAATGTATAGTGCCTTCCCATTTCAGTTTTCTCCAAGGAAACTTCCTTTTCCTATGGATATGAGTTAGGTGTGCTTGTAGAAAGGCTGTTTAAAGGCCGTGATTACTGCTGAGGAAATCCTAAGATTCTAAGCAATGGCTTTGTGCAAATTGAGAGGCAGTATTTTGGGAGAAAATCCCCTTGTGAGGCTGTTGGGGGACACCAGCATCACTTGGCTGCAGAGCTCAGTGCAGGCCCTTGTTTAGTCAGGGCTGTTCAGCAATTGCTGATTTAGTGTCTCTGTATTTCAGGAGGAACGTCCCTCATATGTCATCTCCCTCATAAAGGACTCGGGAAAAACACAATATTATCTCGGGCAAACAAAGGGGTTTTCTCTGCAGCTCTGTCACTCCAAAAGGAGCAGGCTGACAGCCCCATCGGTGTACATCCCATAATTCAGCCAAGGTATTCAGGGTTGGCTCAGATGGAGTAAAACCCTTCTCCTCCCACCAGTGTCCTTTCCAATTTATGGCCGGGGAGAGGCAGGAGGGGGTGTTTGTGTGTGCTGCAAGAAACTACTGCTGGTTATCAGCCCTGTGCTTTTCCCTTTGTTTATCTCAGATGAGCAATGTTGGGTGTCTGATCCAGACAGATCCAGACAGAGTTGCTGGAGTGCTGCACAAAACAGGGCTGTGTTGATAAATACCTATTTTTTTTTTTTTTTTCCTTCTTGGCGAGTCAGTGTGGTCCAAAGATGGGAGATGGGAAGGATAAACACATGTAGCAGGGTTTGAGGGAACAGGTGGATGGATAATTCCCAGCACAGCCTGTAAGCCCTGTGCCATTTGAATGTGTCATTACAGTAATGGGAGATTGATGGCAGCAATTCTGGCTGAGGTTCTTGCCAAAAGCACACGAGGCCTAAATCCAGACTATTGGTGCCTCCTCCCCTCCTCGAAGGTGCACTGGGGACACTGCAAGGAGAGGGGTGTGCAGAGGGGCAGGGGGTGCTGTTAGTGAGGGGTGTGGGGTATTACATGTGCTTTGTAGCACAAAACTTGTGTCTCTGCATGGAAATAAACTCCTTTCATTCCAATTGAACTCTGTAGGTTGGGGCTGGAGTCACTCAGCACTGCTGACACCATTCACAGCCCTGTGGGAAGGGTCTTTAACTGCCCCCAGCGACCACCAGCAGGCTAGAAGGACATGTCCAAGGAGAAAGGCCAGAAGAAGGGAGGTGCAGATGGACAGAGAGACACCCTCAAATGGAGCACAAACAGGGATCTGCTGCTGGTGGTCAGGGAGAGCACCAGGGAAAGGTGAGTGTCACCCATGATAAATAGATGTATTTGATATATAATGGGTATAGAAATGTAAGGATGGATGGGAGTGAGGAGAGACAGACCTAGGAAGGGATGGGTAGAAGAACAGATGGATAGAAAGGAGGACATATGGAAGGACAAAAGGATGCAGGGGAGGCATCAGTGGAGGGAAGGAAGGTGGGAAAGATAGAAAGTGGATGGTTTGGAAAGGAGGACAGAAGGGAAGAATGAGTGACAGATGGAAAGAAAGAAGGATGGGCAGAAAGATGTGTGGTAGGAAATATGGAAGGCTGGAGGAACCAGATGGAAGGACAGAAGGATGGAAATAAGAGTGGCAGAACAGAGGGATGGAAGAACAGCCAACAGGAGGAAGAAAGAGGAGTAGAAGGAGAGTAGGGCAGAATGAAGAATGGAGGAATGGAAAATAGGATGGAAGGGTAGAAAGTGGAATGTATGTTCAGACAAAGATGGAAGGCAGGATAGATGGAAGGACATGGAAGAACAAAAGTAGGGAGGGAGGTCAAATGGAAGCATGGGCAGAAAGAAGGACAGAGATGGAAGAATTAACAGAAGGAAGGATGGAGTGTAGGAAGAAAGGATGGGAGGATAAAAACCGATGTAAGGGCAGATGGAAGATGGGGGTAGAACAGAAGGAACGACAGAAGGACAGAAGCTGTTGGAAGCAGGGAATGGAGGACAGAAAAATAGGAATAGCAAACTGAAAGAAAGGCAGACAATCACCTGTTGTTCCCAGGTTTGTCAGCCCTGTGGGTCCTGCCCCGCTCCAGTCTGGTGACAGCAGGGGACACGCTTGTTCTTGATGTGATGCTGTGAGATGACCTGCTGTGGGTGGGCAGGACCGGTAACTTGAACCCTTCTGCGCTTCATTTGCAAATGTTCTCCCGCAGTAACAAAGCCACGGTGTTAATGGGAGGTGGTGCAAGTGTTTCAGCACCGTCTGTGTGGTGAGAGAGGCTCTTCCTCCTGCACACTCCTGCAGGGAATGGTGTGAGGAGAGAATGAGCCAGAGAAACTCTGCTGTCCTTGGCAGTGCTTACAACCCCTCAAACGCCCCTGAGAGCTCTGTAGGGCAAGAGAGGCAACGCTTGCAAAGGAAAATTTGGCTCCTGGATTAAAAAACTTGAACGTGCTTTTTAAATGTTACATTGCAATTCGGCCCGTGCATGGTCTAGTGAGAGCAAGTCTGACCTATTTGCTTCAGCATGAGCCTGGCTCTGGAGGGCTGGGCTTAGTTCACAGCTCAGCCACAGGCTAAAGGATTGGACATGACGTGTGCCCTCTTTTCCCTTCTGTAACGAGAAATTATTACCTCAGTTCCTCACCCTGGTGAGAAGAGAGAATTCATTAATTTCCATGTGTTCTCAGACACTCTGATCACGAAGGTCACACATAAATTACAGTATAAAAGTAACTGGCCATTTGAGTGGGTTAGTCTAAGAGTTAACACACCATGAAATATTCATAGGAAAATGAGCAGCTGCCATTAGGTCTGGATTAGTGCCTTGGAGAAGCTAAAGAAATACCCCACAAGGTCCTGCATTTACTGCTTGTGGTTGGTTTATCAGAGATGCTCTGATGTCAATCCTGATCACAGTTCTCTGTAGTCACAATAAATCCTCTTTTTCAGCACAGCACATCCAACCCCTGCAGAGATTTTGCTCCGACCAAGAAGCCCCTCCAGCAACAGCATTGTGGGAGTTGCCTCCACACAGGTGTTCAAGCAGATCCATCACCTGGCAAACAGCACCAACAACTCAGACTGAAGTCAGGACCAAAAGGTAAATCTACTTTGCATTTACATTTATTTACATTTTATACTTCAGCAATTTCTGTGACTGGGTCAAATCAAAATGTGAAGCAGTATGAAATGTGTCCAAACATGAAGCAGAATTATCTCCATTTTCATTTCAGGTACCACAGATAGGAAAGTGCCTCATTAAAGAATGTATTTAAACTTTTTTTTATCCCGACAATATTTTATATAGGAGTCACTGTATATTTTGTTGGGGTGTTTTTTCTTTTTTTTTTGCTCCCACTTAAAGCCAGTTTAGGCTGTAACTTGACTTCATTGTCATTCCTTGTGATTTTTAACATCTTGCAATTTTATTTCCTCTCATGGGATTGCAGAGCAATTCCATTTTTATTAAAAAGAAAATCTTTGAAGATATCATGCAAAGATTGAAATGATGGATGGGAAAAGCTAAACAACCCAACACTTTCCATTTTTTAAAGCCTCGTGAGCTTTTGATGCTTCAGTCACAATGATTTAATGCTTGGAAGCAGAGGGGCTGATGAAAACATCAGCCCAGAGCCCAGTCCCAGGGATTGCTGTATCCCAAACACCAAAACAAAGTACTTTTCTACCTGCTTTTTAAATTGCTTTTGGTCTATTTTGGGGTAAGGAGGTATTTTTAACCAAAGCTCTTCTTCTGTAACTATTCAAATGACACAATTTAACAACCATCCCAGTTCCCAAGGGAGGAGACAATGACTGCACAGGAAACAGGAATTCTCTCCCTCCAAAGCATTCCAGTCTCCAGTAAGTACCTGCTCCCACTTACAAGTAAAATTCTCAGGGATACACAGACCACACACTAGAAGTTGCCAAGGAAACCAGATTCACTTCTGATGCTACATGTTGATTATTTCAATCTCCTTATTTTTCTCCACTCACATACACCTTAAAGTCAGTATTGTCCTTCCTGGTCTGATGACCACGATGGCTTTGCCACTGAGGACATGACACTGGCCTTGCTCCCTGAATCCAGGCTGGAGCCTCTCAATTTTAAAGCAAGGCATCAACATTATTTTGGCAGTAGGTTAGTTCAAATTGCCTTTTGCCCACACTGGTAGTCAAAATATTCCACTACAGATCCAGCTAAAGTGCACAAATACATTTCCTGATTGGGCTCGTGCTGTGAAACTGGAATCAAGCAAGGAAAAAAATTTAAAGTGATTAATTCCCTTTTGTTGTTTTCTCGATTCCTGAGTCTCAGCATATCCAGCAGTGGCCTTGAAATTCAGTGGGGGTGATTATTGACCTCAGGAAAGCTGGGATCAAAACTGCATTTTGGGGAGGTCCCCAGCTCCCTGGTTAAAGTCAGCTGGAACTGGATTGTATTGTCCCAGAGCAGTCAGTCTGCAGCAGCTGGAATGACAGCTCGTGGCTTTGGGTAGGCCTCCAGGCTGCCCAAATTACAACCACTCCATTGTTTATATATGGACAGCTATGGGGTTTCGAGAGTATTTTAAAAAGAGTTCCAGATTTTGATCTTACTCCTGATTTCCCCCCTACTTTGGTCACAGTTCCGTGCAGCATTTGCAGAGATACTCAAAGCCATGACCTTGGAGTGAGAGCCAAATGAGCCAGCACAGCTCAGAGTGATTATTTTCCCATCACTGTCACTGTCAGAGTAGTTTTGTTGATCTCTGGCTGTGTTTCTGTTTCTCCACTGGTTTTCCAAATGCTACAAGAGATGTAGCACGTGGCAGGATGGTGGAGGACATGAAATTAATAGCAAATGAAAATCATAAACCCTTTTACCCCCCGAAGGAGACCCCTCTGTATTTATCTGAACTGCAGTTTTGAGAGGGTTTTACCAGACCAAGGCACAGAGCAGGTTCTTCCCAAGCCATAGGATGGCTGAGATGGATCATGGCCTCTGTAGGGATCATCTCCAGCCTGGGGCTGCTCTTAATGAAGAACAATTAACCAGGGTCTGGCAAAACCCCAAGGCCAACCCTCTGTTCCCTGAGAGAGGTGGAGTGTGTGTAACCAGCTCCAAACCCCACAGAGGCCCAGGAATGCTCCCAGGAATGCTCCCAGGAATGCTCCCAGGAATGCTCCCAGGCGGCCCTGCCTGTCCCACAGTTCTCCAGTTGTCCCTTTCCCTGGTTCTGCACAGAGTCAGGAGCAGCAGCAGGGCTGGGCAGGTCATTTGGCTGCAGAACAGTCCTGGCAGCTGCAGAGCTCCACGAGGACCGGGAAAGGGGAAAGGCAGCGTGGACTCAAGTGGAGGGTTCTGTGGAACGGAGCTGTTTGATGGGGTTGGAAGTGGTTTTAAGATTGGATATTGGCAGGGGTTCGTTACACACTCACAGGTCAATTAACCAGCTGGACAGACATGGGGGGCAGGACAGAAATTCTACTGCGTTTTTCCTGCTGCTGCTTAAATCCAGCTGCAATGATTGGAGCTGACTAATTCCAACCTGCAAAAGTAACATTTTTTAAACTGGTTTTGTAGAGCCACTTACATCGAATTCCTTGCTTCCACACACACTGATGACCCTCACGAGAGACTGATTAGCATGGGAAGAAAAATAAGCAGTGACAAATTAAATCCTTATTTCAGAGACTTTCCCCTCCTGAAGTTCCCTGGTCCCCTTTAGGAATTCAGGAGTTTCATCCCAAGCAAAGAACCTGCACAAAAAGCTTTATTTAACCTCCCAGGAAAATTAATCCATAACCTCCATCTGTCACCTCTCCAGTAGCCTTCCAGAAAATGTTGGAAAGCATATCTACACATTTCCTTCAAAACTGAAACCTAATGGTCGAGTGAAAAAAGGAAAAGAGGGGATTTTGCAAACAAAGAACATCTTTGTTGGTTGACAGCACTAAATGTAACTTGTCACCAGAGCTGAAATGTTGCATTAATAGCTCTTTTGTGAAAACACTGAGCTGAGTGTTATAAATATTGATGGGAGACCCTGGGCTTTGGAAGTGTGTGACAGATGGAAACTTTTCAGGGGAACACAAAATTGTCTTCGATGTTTCTCCCCCTTGAAATTCAAACATCCTCGTTAAATTCAAAGCCATTATTAGATGTATCAGCAGAAAAATGATGATGCAGCAGGTAGAGCAGGGGAAAACATCCTTACCTAGGTGTGATGGCCACTGTTGTCAGCATCCCTAAGGAACAGATCCGAGGGAGAGACCTCCAAAGGAGCCAGAGTGTTAATGGCTGTTGTGGTGAATTTGGGCTATTTTATTTTTTGGAATGCAAAGCCTTGCTGCTCCCAGGGCCAGCCTGGTTGCCATGGTTACCTGTGACTCTCTCCCTCAACCTGAGGAGCCAGACTATGCTTTTTCCTCTACACTGGATGTGTCCACATGGACATTCCCAGGAAAAACGGGAGCTGTGGGGCTGAATCAGCCCACAACACACAGTGGGTGTTTTCAGGGAAAAGGAGGTAACAGAATTCCTGATACTCCATAGAAACACAAAACTCTATCACTCCACCCTCACCAGCCTTCAAAGTTGCTCAAAATCTCCTTCTACTCAGCAAAATTGAATTCTTTTGAGGGAGGTGAGGCTGGACAGGCTTTCCTTGATGTCAACCCTGAAACCTCCCTCACTGCCCTGCTCAGGCACCTGGAATTAGCCCATTCCAGCCCTGGAGCAACAGGGAAATAGAGTTGTTGGAAAGCCATAAGAGGAGGCAATTCAGTCCAGGACAGAGGGAGCTAAAAAGGGGACACAGACCCCCCAGACAGCACCAGCTGCTGCCCCAAAGGGGATAAATGAAAATAAATCAACAAAATGAGCTTTAGATACTCTGTGAAGCACTGGGGGATTTCAACACCCCAAGGTGCAGGGGCTGCACTAAGACACAGGGAGGGATGTTCTTCATGAAACAAAGAAAGGAAAAGCCAACTAACCCAGGGAAGCAAATGTGAGACTTAAATTAACAGGAAACCCTCCAAAATCAACTGAGCAGTTTGGAGCTGCCCCCCTGCACTGAGTCTGAAGGTCACAAGCAATTTTAGACTGTGATTTTAATAAGCTCTATCTTATAATTTAGCAAAGGTTACATACACTGTTTTGAAAAGGTATGAAGCACAATGATAGAAAATTCAGGTGCCATTTCACATCTTGAGGGAAATGTATTTCAAATACTGGGAGGCAAAATCCAACCCCAGTACAGAAGGGGAAAATTTGGGTTTTTATCTTCTCTGTGGGAATTACGAAATATTTATTGGCTAAATTGGGTGAGTTTGTCTAAGAATCTGCTATTAAACCCATGTCAAAAACCCCAGCATTTAAAGAACAGCAGCTGTAAAGAACAAGACACTCCAGGTCCAGAAAAACATGAGTGTTCTGAAGTTTATCTTCAAGCAAAGCTGTTGAAATACAAATTCAGGCCTTAACACCCAGACCCTGTTCTCCAAGAGAGAAGATCTGAATTTTTAGTTGATGTGTACTTTAAAGAAGAATTTGACTGCAAAGATACAACAGATACAGAGGGGAAAATGCCAGAAAACAAACTCCTTGACCTACTTCCATAACAGAGAACACAGTATGCTGTATTTAAAAATCACAGGAATACTCCAAGGAGGATTTTTACCTGCAACAATTCCCAATCCAGGTATTGAGCTGGATGCCTTAATCTTGGAGGTGTCGGATTGTACATTTCTGTGGGATTTGCATAAAAAAAGATCAATATATTTTATTCAGATAAAAGCCACGTCACTGCAGGACTGTTCAAGTCCTCCCACAGTTCAAAAATTAACCCTGAAACACTCACACAAGGGTTTAAAAAGTGGGGCTGAGAGCCCGATTCAGGAACCTGCTGGAACCTCCTCAGCTCTGACATTTCTGGCTCCAGACCCCACAGATCCTCGTGGATCCTGCAAACTTCTCCTTCAGCTCTGATTTATAGGCTGAGGAAATCCATGCAAAACGGAGCAGTAAAAGAAATTTGTGGGCTAATTTACTGCCTCCGTTTAGGTTAAGGTTTTAATAGTTATTTGCCTTTCTATTTTAGATAAAGATTTGTGAGGAGCCAATTACCCGAGGCAGCTCGAGTGGCTGTGACAGCTGAATTCAAGGCATGAGCTCCCCTTAGGAAGCACTGCCTGATTTTCTGATAGCAAGTGCTGCAGTTAAATACAGAGGCCAGAGCCTACATCTTAAAATGATGAAGATAATTCACATGGAACACGGCTTTTGAGGATAAAAGCTTCCCAACAGAAGAGAGAGAGAGAGAGATCATTACTGTATATTTATATAAGGCAGAGGTTTTTTGTGGGCTCCATTGAAGCTGAGCCAATTTACCCCAGCTGAAAACCCATCTCTAAAGAGTTCATTAAACCTCTGTCTCCCTGGCCTATTGCTCCAGGATTGGAACATTTGTTCCTCTGAAAGATTTATTATTCCCCTAATCCAAAATGGTACCTGGGATTTTAAGGCTGAGTGTGAAATGTTGATGGTTCCTGTACTTTTCCCCCCATCATATAGCCTGGGAAATTAAATATCAGATGGCTGTGTAGCTGGAATGGTGGTAGGAAAAAAGGGACCTGAGACTCAAACTGGAGGGTTTTAACTCCCCAACCCCATTTGGGGTTTGGGCTCTGCTGCCCCTCAGAGCAAAGGGCCTTTTATTGCTGCCAGCTTGGGGTTTTGGGCTAAACTCAGGAAAGTCAGATGAATAATTTGCACTGAGTTTTGATTGATTTTGTGTCTCTTTTGGTTTGCCAGGGAGCAAGGAACCAATTGCAGTCCCTCATTAGAAATCACTTCTGCTTAATTCCTGCAACTGCTCTGGGAGCAACTCCAATTCCGGAGGCTGGATCTCCACCTAAGCCCTGTCATCAGATGCTCCAGTCACGGGATGCACTTCCAGCTGGGTGAGCATAACTCTGCTTTTTCCTTGGGGCTGCTGCTCCAGCAGTTATGGACCAGAAGGAGATTGTCTAAATAATCTGCAACACTCAAACATCTGTTGCTTTTAGGCCACTGATGGAAATGGGTTTAGTGTTGCAATGTAAGAGCCTTCCCACAGCAGCCAGAAAAGGGACAAGAGCCCTGAAAAGGGACAGGACTTTCCTCATTTTTAGTCACTACCTTTCTCCAGCCCCTCCTTGCCCAGTGCCCTACACTGTCCTGTGTGTATCCTGTCAGCTGCAGGAGCTCCAGGAAACAAAAGCTTTAAAATAATGGAGAATTAAAGCATCAGGCATTTTACACGCTCACAGATATTAAAATTAGGCCTCCAGCATATGTGGCTGAAGGCATGGAAATTCCCAGGAGATCCACTGAAATCAACCCCGACTATTGTGTGTGTCAGGGTGTAACAAAGTGTGTTTGCTGAGCAGACAGTCAGGGATCGTGGGGAACAGTCTGGCACCTCCAGCCCACACCCCACTCCCCAGCCACAGCCACACCCACACTGCAGGATGTCACAGCCAGGGAGATGGTAATTATAGATCCACACCCACAGCCTGCCTTTCCATCCTGGAGGAATCGAAGGGGATTGTTCTATTTTTGATTTGGCACACGGGCCAAATCCAGAAATAACTTTGGGATAAAGTTCGGGAGATCTGGGACACGGTAAAGGCACATCCAATATTAAACCTGTGCTTACAAAACAAGAGTAACAGAGAACTATTACACTAATCCTTGCTAGGCTTAAACTCTCCTGCTCCTTCCAAGAGATTAAAAACATATGTCAAATCAGAGGAATTAGAGGCTGAACATTCCTTGTCCTATTTCCTTCCCCTCTTGCAGAGGAGGTTGCCAGTCCGAGGAGTTGTTTTGTCCCACTGCAGTCCCCTCCTTGATTTCAGGGAGTGCTGCAGGAATTCTGCATCTCTGTGCATTTTGAAATGTGGGCTTACATCTTGGGGGGTCAGGAGGAAATTTCCTCCCAAACACTTGAATTTCCCTGGTAAAGTTCAAGCTGATACATTTGGTGTCTCTGTCAGTGAACTGGGAAAAGCTTCTTCTGATCACCTGATAGAGACATTAATTTATTAATTGTATTATACATGATTAATTATATATTATCATATATATCATTAATTATATATTCCCATAACGTATAATTATACGTTATATTATTAATTCTCTCTCTATTATTTATTAATTGGATTCCTCTGTAGATGTCAGACACTTTCAAGTACTTTTGACATATTACACCCAACACTGCCCAGTCCCAAGAATCAAAAATTTATTCTGCTGTAGGTTAAAAAGCTGCTGAATTCCACCTGGGGAAGTAAAGAGAGGAAAAAGAAAACAATAAATCATGCTTTCCAAACCACAAAGCTTTTGATAGATATCCACCAGAAAGCTTTTAGTCTGTCACATGTATTATGACTTGGTATTTTTTCTTGGCTGCTCTGTCATTATCTACAATATATATTTTTAGGCAAAAAAAATATATTTAATTTCACAAGTGAAATGCAATATTGAGTAGGTTGGAAATTCTTCTAACGGTGCCATCCCCAGTAGCTCAGTGTCTGAGTGCCATGAATAATGCAGAGTTCAAGCCCTCTGCATTTTTTTAGGGAAACCCCAGCATGTTACAAAATAACAAGGGAGAAAAGAAACACATTTCCCAACATCCCTCCAACTCCTCTGAAGGACCTCATCAATAACTTTTGGGATACCCCAGCCCAACAGATTCTGGGTGGTGAATAATTGAGGGGGTCTGGGCAGTTTGTACTCCAGGATTGACCGGGAGCAGTTTGGATTTTCCCAGCACATTTTGGATTTTCCCAGCACATTTTGCTCTGCAGAATCCCTGCTAAATAATTTGTATGAACAGTTATTGCTGTTCAGAGCATTTCTGAGCACTCCCCTGTGCCTGTGATTGCATTTTGAGCTCTTTCAGACAGTTTTAATTGGGGGCATCAATCAAATGGTATAATTTCCTTTTCTTGACATAACCCCACTAATGAAGTATCTTTTTCTCTGATTTGTAATCCAGTGTCTAATCCAGAGTGATGAGCCCTAATCTCTGTGATTTGGGAGGACATCTGGGGACATGTTCATCTCTAAACTGCTTAATTGCTTTCCTGAATAGAGGTAGGTTTAATATTAGCTTTAATGAGGCTCTGAATTAGCTTTTTTAGGTCATTAAAAAAATGTAAATTTAAAAAGTTACTGCCCCCACATGTCCACTTTCTTCACTCCATTTAAAAAACAAGGTGCAAACTGGCTCTGGGCCCTGGTTAATACCTGTGTGTGTCAGTGAAGCTCCAGTTTTATCAGTACAAGTAACACAAGATGTAAAAACATTCACAATGGCAAATTCAACTGGGGGAAGGCAGTCAAGGAAGATCCTTCAGGAAAGGAAAGAGCAAATCTTATATCACCAATAAAACCTGAAATTGCCTGAATATTCAGGAGCTGTGGCATTGAACATGTGAAGATGAGAATGGATTTGCAATAATGGCTTTTTAGAGGAGGATAAATATTTGATTATGTTGTCAATGCATATTTCTCAGAAATATAAAAACATGCTGCACTCTGATGAATTCCAACTACAGCTGGTTCTAAAGCTGGGCAGGTTTTGTAGTGTCTCTGATCTTCCTTCCCCCAGAGCTGCCATTAATAAATCAGGACTATTTGGACTGAGTAGAAAATGATGGTAAAGGGAAAGGATGTCGGGTTTTTGTTTGACTTTGGGAATGTTGTGCTCTTTAATTCAGTAACTTCAGGAGCCAGCATTGAACACACAGAATTAGGAACTGAGCTAAACAGCAGCAGGATCCTGAGTTTTCCCCTTTTCTGGGAACAACACACAAGCTGTGTGATGTTCATGGTGTTAGAACAGAGCAGCAACAGCGCAGAAAAGGAGTGTTTTGAGAGTGGCCCCTCCTGAAAATGTCCATGAAATTTAAATTTTAAAGTCCTACTGGTAATAGACGGTTATAGATGATTATTGCCCATTAGCAAGCCTAAGAAAATGACTCAGTAATAGGCTCTCAGTTTTAGTTGACGTGGGACAATTGTCTCATTGCTCCTCTCAGCTCACATTCCCATGGATTAGGACATGGAGTGGTTCTTATCTGTCACTGCTTGTTATTGTTGCCAATGATGTGTGAAATTGGAGCCTGACTGGAATTTTCTTCAGCAAACTTGCACTGTTGGAGGATCAAAATATTGACAGCCTGATTTGATAATTGTGACTCAATTTGTTTCATGCCTTAGGGCTGTCATTTAAATTTTACTTCAGGATGATGTTGTACCATTTATGGCTTTTCTTCAGTATTATGTTGATTGAAGTTGCTTTTGGACCCTGTTCACTACATCTGGCTGAAAATTTCACATTTAATGCTTTCCATCTTAATGTTTTTCACTGAAAAATGCCCCTGTCTTTAAGTATAAACTTTCCCCAGATTTATGCATGTTTTGGATGGAGTCAAACTTCACACTCAAGTGGTTTAGGAAAAAAAAGTCCTGTTTTTGTCTTACAGGAATGAAAATTGAATGGTTCAATTATTCATTTCAAAGCAGCTCTTCCTCCTAAAGCTTGGAAACTCCATTTCAGTGGAAGAGAAGGAAAACATGGAATATATTTGTTGAACTAAGGCAACTGGAAGACATTAGGAGCCCAGGGAGGGGTTTGTTTGTTTGTTTTGTGCCCCTGTCGGAGCAGACACCATTTTTCAAGGAGCTCTGCTGTTCTCACACCAGATGGCTTTATTTTTCCAATACTTTCTTTTCCTCACATACATTTTCCCTGCACATGGAAAGAGGATGTGCTTGCTTTTTATTAATCTGCCAGATATTCAACTCTGCATTTACTCATCCTGGCATCTTATCCACGTTTGGTGATGCAGTGGGTATTCCTAGGATGTTATGGAATAGCAGGAAGAGCCAGATTGTCCCTATTCAGTAGCTATCATAGCTCCTAAAAGATCTGTTTGCCACAGAAACACTTTCAAGGGTTCAAATAATAAATTAAAAATGGGTCCCAGCATCTTGTTGGATTCCTGGAGCTACTCCCCATTTCCAGGGCAGTTGATTTTCATCCTTGTAAGGATTCAGTGACCTTTGACAGAACCTCTGAGCACTCTTTCAGCTCAAACTGAATTAAGACATTACTGGATACGGGCTTGGTTTCCTCCAGCCCTTCCAGCATTGCCACAGCATTTAACTATGGATCTGGGTGGTTCTGAAGGAGACTCACATCTTGCTGCCTCAGCATTCCTAACCCTCTTTGCCATAAACAAGGGAGAAACTGCCTTTAATGAGAACACTTCGTGCCAAAAATTTTTGCAAGTGCTAATGTTTAACTATCTGATTGCATTATTAAGAATTTATTCTATTTTGCAACCACTGTTTGACATTCTCAGAAGACAGATCACCCTCATTAAGAGGCTGAGAAAGGCAGAAACCGAGCTTGGGAATGAAATTTAATTTGTCACTGAAACGTTAATATAGTAGCAAACACTTCAATTGTGCCTTCTGCCTTCTTGCTCCAGGGTTTGAGGAGCTGCAGCTTTTTTATCCACTGGAGCAGTGTTTTGCTTTAGCCTTCCCTTGGTCTGTGGCACAGGAGTTTGTTGCTGCAGTAGCCACTGGATATTGGCAGAAACCAGCATTTACTGTACAGTGAGGTAAGAGGAGAGCTGGGTTATAAAAAATAGCAAGCACAGGAGCACCATTGGCCTTGCAAATGCCTCTGTTGCTGCATTAGGAACAGTGTTCGTGCTCTGAGCATTGGAAGCTCCACAATGAACTAAACACGTCCCTGTCTCGAATGCTCAGTAAAGAGGCATCAATTCTGCTCTCATTTGAAGGTCTCTGGTTTCTAGTCCCTTGTTTTGAACAGATATCACCCAGGACTCCATCACGGGACAAAAACGTGCCCAAAATCTCTTTTGAATTCTGCAGCCCCTCTTTTTCCCTTGTTTCAGGTGTTCCCATCCCACGGGACTCATTTCCCAGCCCGGGGTCTGTAACGAGGCTCAGCCTTCAAAGTGTCCAACACACTGAAAACGGAAAAAAGCCACGACAGAAACAGCTACAGGGACTTCAGAGGGTCTTCTGGTGGAACTTGAGCCAGCTCTGCAGCCCCACAGCAGGACAGCAATGCCAGGGGATGGGATGATGGAGCCCACGGCACGGACATGGCAGATGGGGACACGTGTGCGGGTCGGTGACAGTCACAGCAGGAGCAGCCCCAGCCTGCCAGGCTTGGCACCTGAACAAGGTAAGAGCCCCAGCTGAGAACATGAGGCTGTGTTTGGGACATGAGGATTTACCTCCTGCTGAGCTGTGAGTGGGTGCTGAGGGCAATAAACACCCTCTGGGAGAGCAGGAGGGCTGAGGGGCCACAGGGATGAAAGGTTCTCCAGGTGTGATGAGCATGGAAGTGGCTCAGGAGGAGGAGAACGCTGAACACACCACAACACAGGCTGGTAGAAGAGAAACCTGGGAATTAATAGGGTGTGATGTTCATTTGATTGATTGCAGTGCATATTGAGTGCACTGTTCACAGCTGATTTATCTTAATTTGATATTAATCACCAATACATTCAGCTGGACCAAAGAAGAATTATTTGCATTGCTCACCACAAAGGAGGAGTTTTTCCAAAGGAAAGGGAATTTTACATGTAATCCATCATTAGCAATTAGTGGTAGGCTCTGAGGAAAGCCTCCTCTTACACCCTGGAGCATCAGGGATTTAAAGGCTGTGTGGATGTGGCACTTGGGGACACGGGTTAGTGGTGGCCTTGGCAGTGCTGGGTTGTGGTTGGACTCTGATCTTAGAGGGCCTTTCCAACCTAAAGATACCGTGGTTTTATGAAAAACTCCCTTGAAAGCCACTATCCCTTAGCACTGTTCCCTGCTGATGTTCCAGTGCTCAGTTAATGATCTGGATCAATGATTTATAAGAAGCTGAACTGTGCTAACATTTCCCTCTCTATAATTGAAAAAGAAAAAAAAAATGGAAATTGTGTGGATGAGGAGGAACAGCACGTGGCATGGGGGAAGTGCTAAAACTGCTCCAGGGAAAGAAAGGGACCTGACTGATGTCTAATTATGAAAAGAGAATTACAGAAGTGAAATGATTCACTTTTAACAATAAGTGAAACAAAAGACCACCCTAGACAACAACAAAAAAGTGAATTCCACAGAGGAAGGGGGGAAAGGCTGAATGAGTCAATTATAATGGTGTTAAGATGGCTCAGGGCAATTCCAGGTGCCTGTTGCTGCTGGAAGAGAAATGGGAAGAAAAAGCACCAATTTAATCCTACCGGGAATGTGAGGGATGCATTTGTGGCTTTGGCAGGGCCAGGATTTCATGGCATTTTTCCCATTAGAGAGCAAGTGTGCTCCAAGCTCCATCATTTCCTGGGCACCCTGCTATTTCCAACACCACTTCTGGAAGCTCTTCCAGCTGAGAGGACCAGAAAACTGCCCCTATTGATGCCAGTGCCAAGAACAGCAACGAGCTGCACTGGGGCCTCTTATTTCCCTGGAGAATAAAACAGGGATTTTTTTATTTCCTAGTAATGAAAATTAGGTACAGGGCATTTCTGCTGCCATTGCTTCCTGCAACAAGCAGACAGACAGTGTTTGATCCTCCATTAAGGAGCAAAACAAGAGACCAGAAAGCTTTTGGTGCTGTAGCACAAGAGGTTTTTAATATTAAAAATCACTCTGTTTAATCTGCAGAGTCCCCCCCATAATTAACCTGGTGGTGATTATTGTTGTGCAGTGCCAGCAATGAGATGGATGAAGATTCATCCTTTGCTGTGAACATTTTAACTTGAAACATCATCTGTAGGTCAGGAGCACTGAACAAGTAACAACAGAGTGACAGGAAAAGCAATGGAATGTGTGGAGTGAAAAAGGGCTGAAAAATGCACTTTAAATACATTTTAACAAACAATAAAATAATTTCAAGTCATGTAATCACAACAAAGAAAAGAAAACAGAAGTTACTTTATATTTAATTATTATATATTATGTTTTATTATTATATTTTATTATATATTATTACTTTTAATATGCTCTATTATTTTATTATTTTAATATTTCATATTAT